TGTACTCTCTTTCTCTCTCTCTCTCTCTCTCTCTCTCTCTCTCTCTCTCTCTCTCTCTCTCTCTCTCTCTCTCTCTCTTTCTCTCTCTCTCTCGCTCGCCCGAGCGCCCTCTCTCAATCTCCCACTCGCCCTCTTTCTCTTCCTCTCTCGCCCTCGCTTCAATTTCTTCCTCTCCCTATCCACTTTTTCCTTGTCTGTCTTGTTCTCCGTGTCTCGTAATATATATATATATATATATATATGGTTTTTATTATATATTTCCTCTATCTCTTACTCTGAATCTTTTTTCTCCTTATCCCTCTCTCTCCCCCTCCACCTCGGTTACATTCCGCGCTCTCTCTCTCTCTCACCCTCTACATCATTGTTACTCCCCCTTCGTTCCCCCCTCTCCAATTTTCCCCACTCTTCCCCCCCTCTCTCTCTCTTTACCTCTCTGTCTCTCTCTCGCTCTCTTTACCTCCCTGTTTCTCTCTTCCCCCTCTCTCTCTTTTTACCTCTCTCTCTCTCTCTCTCGCTCTCTTTACCTCCCTGTTTCTCTCTCTCTTCCGCTCTCGCTACCTCCCTGTCTCTCTCTATCTCGCTATCTCTTTCGCGCTCCGCGTCATCTTTATGCAGCGCGTCATGTGCTTTCGTTTACGCACTTAATTCACGGGTCCGGTCCCGGGGTGGGTAGATAATTATCTCAATTCGGTAAAGCTGAAGCATCTCTCGTAACCTAAGAATGCGTACTGAGCCACTTCAACGCTAAGGGTTAGGTAGAAAGAGAGGGAGGCTGGATGAATATAGAGAAAGAGAGCAGAGTGAGAGAGAGCACGCGCGAGGGATGGAAAAAGAGAGAGAGAAAGAGAAACAGTGAGAGGAAGAGAACAAAGTTAGAGTAAAAGAAAGAGAGCAAAAGCGAAAGCGTGAAAGAGAGAGAGAGAGAGAGAGAGAGAGAGAGAGAGAGAGAGCGTAAGAGCGTGTGTGAGAGTATCGACGTGGAAACGAGACTGACGCCTGCTCATCCGACGATGCTCCCGCTGCGTGCGTCGTTATACGCGCCGCTCCTGTCGGTCGAGAGAGGCGCCCGGCGCGCGCTTAGATTTTTACGTCGTGGGCGTCGCGTCCGTGGGCGTGTGATGTGCTGCGCTGTCACCTTAAGCCCCCCGCGCGCGCCGAATGCGCACGCAAACCAGCCCACATGCACGGTACACATTCGGCGCGCGCCTTAGGCGCTGAGCCAGAAAAATCAAACACGGTAGATATTTTGTTCGCGCGTTCTAACGACGCACGCCAGCCCGCACACTGTGCGCATTCGGCGCAGCGCATGTCCGTGGCTTCGCGTGTCGTCGCGTGGCGTGGGCGTCGCGCCCGTGGGCGTGTGACGCGCTGCGCTGTAACCTTATCGCGACGAGTCGGCGCACCGCCGCCGCTGCTGCTGCTCGCTTCGCTGCCCTCTGCCTCCCCCACCGCCACGCGGTTAGCCATTAAGCTCGACTTCGCTGTCTTTGACGCCCACCAGTGCTACAGGCTTCCGCGCCGGCACGCGATCAAAGGAAACGTGCAGTAATAAGCCAGCTATTCAGGCTAATGACGGATTCGGGTAACGGGCGTTAACCGGCGGCGCATGCAAAGCGACCAAAGGGTTTCTCTGTGTAAATGTAAGGTGACAGTTGCGCGAAAGCGGGAAGCGTCGGCTATTACTGATTTGCGAAATATTTTTAGGCGAGCAAAAAACGTACGATGGCTCATGAATGTACTCGCTGCTGAATTGACGATAAGGATTTGTCGTCCTGTCTCACACACGCTAAATAACACACGTTAACATGGTCATTTACTGGGATACACGTTAACCGGATTTCTGCTGCTTTTAGCAACGTCAAAAAAAACACCGATATTTTGAGTGATACTTTTCACACTTTCCGCCTCGGCGATTCGCGCTCACACAACACGCGCGCGTAGAATTATAGCCGAAAACACTTAAAAAGGGTTTAATGTTTCTCAAAGCGGGTATTTAGTTACTCGATGACATGTGTTTGGGGAGCGGTCGGTGTTACATCGATAGATTAATTCCACTACACGAGACCTTTTCAGGTCCGTGGACATGCTCGTCTATTTAACGCCTCGTCGAGCCTTTATTAACATCAACCCGAATCGAAACACACCCGTCCCACACGCTGTGCGTAATTGTTAGTATTACAGGACGTAGTCGTCGGAGTGACATCCATCGACCACGCCCGCTGTTAATAGAATCCATAATGACCCTAATTAATGCGCGAGTGAAACCCGTCTTGGAGAGATGCGGGGTGTGGGATGAAAAGACGAGGAAGCTGAGCACTAATTAGACTTCATTCTCGCTGCGTTATTGTTGCAGATTACCTCAGCGACCTGTACGAATCGGACAACGACGCCTTGCAGAGTCTAGTGAAGAGGACGTCAAGGTATTGGTGTGGCGACCGAGCGTTGTCGATTCGCTACCTCTACAATATAATGAGTCTCGGGTAATCGCGCTCCGTGTCTTCGTCTCATCGCTTCAGTAGCACGACACGTGTGCTCCATGTGAATGACTGTCTCTGTGGGGCGGCTCTTCCTCCTAGCCTCCTTGCATGTCCGCATGTCTGTCTGTCCATCCGTCGGTCTGCTTTTCCGTCCGTCCGTCTGTCCTTCCGTCCGTCCGTCTGTCCTTCCGTACGTCCGTCTGTCCTTCCGTACGTCCGTCTGTCTGTCTATTCGTTCATCTGTCTGTCTGTTCGTCTGTTCGTCCGCCCGTCTGTCCGTCCGTCTGTCTATTTGCTTTTCTGTCTTTCATTCTCATTTCTCTTTCTATACAGGATAACAATGCATAATTCGTGATGCATTTGTAGTGTAGGAGATGTATAATTTTACACACACACGCGTAGGTAATCGACCGTCCTCTACGCATTCTAACAAATGATAATGTCATAATTTGATGAATAGACATATCATCGCACTAGTAGAGAAACCTAATCTCAAACATTGGCGCATCGAGGGATGGGCCATTGAGAGGAACAAAACCATCAGCGAGAAGAGAGACGATATGCACCCCCCCCCACACACACACACACATCCGGGTCCGGCTATGTATCTCAATGATTCGAACGGCGGTTTCTGGCCTCTAGCGAGCATAACATTTAGGAAACCAAAAGTAAAATGGATGTTTAGAATTCGCAATGTAAACGACCGCCTCGGAGGATTTTCGCTCGTCTTTCGGTATCGATTCTTTGACCGTATGTGTATGTGTGTGTGGGGCGGGGCATGACCCCCGCCTCACCCCAGGAGCCGGCAGTAACCTCAATGTCAGTACTTCTAATATTTTCAGCTTTCGCTAAGATTATATCAGAAAATTACATCGCTGCCAAGACACAGCCGAATTGCACATTTCCGATAGTCGTAAGGAATGACTTGTAAATACGCCTGGAATAGACGCGCTCCGATGGCTTCGTTAATATCCATCGAGTAATATAGTATTCCTTTCATATCCACGACCATTGATTGTTTGCGTAGGCGGTAGGCCTACTTCATGCGCGCCTGCTGCGAGCGCTTTTAATGCGCGTTTTCCATATCATCAAGATCATGTACGCGTGTACTGAAGCACGCATGCGCGCGCACACGTTCTTTTTATTCAAGCGTGTACGAGTGCATGCTCGCGCATGCATGATGCATGGGTGCGTGTGCTTGAACGCTAGCGTGTGTTGTTCAGATGCTAGCCTGTGCGTGCACACGCGCGAGAATGCGGCCATCACATCTCTCCACCGATCTATTCAGAATGCATTCGCCGCAAAACGAAAAGATGCTATAGTGACAACCTGACCTGTATATGCTTTAGTGATGCAGTTTACGCGCATGTGGATGTAAACTCAAGTTGCGAAACTTACAGCATATTATGATAACTACGCACAATGCTAGAACCGATGGCTTCTCTCGCACCTAGTCATTACCGCCTTCTAAAATGGATACGCGTACACGCTCTTGTCATACGGCAACGTTATGCGGGTGTATAACCGGGTAGCAATCAATTTAGTTGCAGGAGGGAAACGTGTGCAGGATTATTTAACCCGTGTACCCTATGCGCCAATAGCCTTTAATTCGATTGCGTAAAGACAGAACCAAGAGACAGCCACCCAAATGCAATTAATAAACTAGTATATACCTAACGGATAGCACTTAACTTGGTTGCATTAACACGATAGAAAAGTACGCGTAGCATTTAACCCGTGAGGCTTACGCAGGTATATTCCCGGATAGTATTTAACTCGGTGGCGTAAAATTATAGTGAAGAGACAGACACCCAAATGAAATTATTCCAGCTGCAATTGTTCGCTTCTCGGGTGAGGAATTATTTGCGCACAATGCGCCCCGTAGTGTGAACCATGGCATTTGTTCGCCGAGGGCTCAGCTGAAATCATCTGCATCACGACACGGCAATCACGAGCGACACGAGCCGAGTAAACACTCAGCCAGCGTGCATGCCGTGTAGTGAGTGTATGCGTTTATGCCCGTGCGCGCGTGTGTGAGGGGGTGCGCGTATAGTGCTAAATCTTTTCCCCGATGCGGCGCCGTGTGCGACGGCCAGCACACATAAGCTGTCAATTTTAGCGCGAAGTCAACTCACGATACGCGATTGCGGCGGGAATTTTTTCTATAATTATACCATAGCAAACCTAACCGAGCTCGCCCCGCGGCTCTGTACGCTATCAAAACACGTATCAGTCGCGGCGACAAATCGAAAAGCCAACGTTTACGTTAGCACCGCATCCTCCCCCCCCCCACCTCCTCCCGCCGAATATTGACCCCGCAGAGAGCAAAGGTGGCGGAACAAGAGCGCTAACTCTATCGCGCGACTCTTCGTACAGATGCGAAGTCGCGTGGCGAAATCTTCAGACGTCGCTTCAATTTCTCACCTTCATCGGGTATGTCGTA